TTGTGTCTATTTGCAATAATAGTGATTTAATTTTCATGTTCTGTGTTCTGTTGTTTGTTCTCTCTTTTATCTAGTCTAATTCTCAAGTTATCAGTCTCCTTTGTTACCTCATACTTCAGAAGCAAACAACCCAATTCAATAATTCTCTTTAATAAATCAAATATAATTATTTACAAAAAAATATCTTGACTTCAAAATTGAAGTCAAAAGTTATGTTACTTTGGAGAAGAGATTTTGTTTTTGTTTCCACAGGAAATGAGAAGTTGTAGATTCATTCTGAGTTAAGAAAAATCAGGTTTGATCAAGAAAGACCACCTGAGAAACGTCTGGTAGGAACATATGGCCCACGTGTCTGAATTCTATATCCAGAACAGATTCAATACTGCTTCCTGGGATAATCAAGACTCACAGGATACTCCAGTCATGGCTTGATAATTCTAAATTTTCTTTATGTACTACACCTTAAACTTGCTTCTGTCTGATATAAACTTGTAAAACATTGCAGATCAGTGTAGAGCTGGTCATAGAGGAAGGTAGAAATCCAGTAGCATGAATTTGAAATAACTTTGTTTTTGATGTTAAACAGTAAATGCCAGTAGTGACCAATGACATAGTGATTACACACTATACTGGAGGGATTGTCATTTTTTATTCATCTTTATGAAGATTTAGAGTTCATTCCTTGTGTTTAAAGGCAATGTTAAATTGAGAAATAAACATTCGTGTACAAAATGCTAAAAAAAAAAATAGATTATCAGCACCCTCAACCAACAGGAAGTAGCCTGGAAAACTACACCCATATTCCCAAAATCTGGACTATGGACATTTTCCATTTTTATAATGTTGGTTACAAGTTGTTATGGATACTGGTCAGGAGAAAAGCTCAACAAAGATATTAGATTCAGAGTTCTTGTTCCTTAACAAGAAAGGGGGAGGTACGGTGGGACAATTGTTTGTACCCTGTCAATTGTATTTTAATAAAATGCTGATTGGCCAGTAACCAGGCGGGAAGTATAGGCAAGATAACCAGATAGGAAGTAGAGGTGGTTCAATGAGAATGGAAGAATTCTGGGAAGAGGAAAGCTCATTTTAGCAGTCCTGATCTAGCCACAGAGCAAGCAAGATATGACTGCCTTGCTGAAAAAGGTACCAAGCCACATGGCTAACACAGACAAGAATAATGGGCTAATATAAGTTATAAGAGTTAAAAGGCCTAAGCTAATTGGCCAGTCAGTTTATAGTTAATGTAGACCTCTGTGTGATTTCTTTGGGACTCAATGACTGCAGGACTTGCCAGTACAGAAAAATCAGTCAACAGTCATCCACATTCAAAGGGACTAGTTTGGTCCCATGCTTGGACCTTCCCAGTCTGGCTGGAGTTGGTGCACTTCTATTTGGTCAGGCAAACTGTTTCAGTGAGTGAACCCATCATGTTCTTGACCTCCTTGCTCATATTCTCAATAAACCACTCTTCAGATGGACTTTGGAAGCTCAGTCCAGTGCTCCCATATAGGTCTCTGCCTCTGTTTCCATCACTTGCTAGATGAAGGTTCTCTGGTGATATTTAAGATATTCATTAGTCTGACTACAGGGCAATTCAAAATCAGAGCCCCTCTTCTCTATTGCTTAGGATCTTAGCTGGGGTCATCCTTGTGAATTCCTGGGACTTTCTCTGGAGCCAGGTTTCTGCTTACCCTATAATGGCTCCCCCAATCAAGATATCTCTTTCCTTGCTCTCATCACTGTGGTTCCTCTATCCTGACTATCCCATTCCCTTATATTCTTCTCAACCCCCCCTTCTCCCCTCTTCTACCTTTTCTACCCTTCCTTATCCCCTACCCCCATGCTTCCAATTATATCAGGTGATCTTGTCTTTTTCCAATTTTCAGGTGAATCTATATATGTTTTTCTTTGGGTTCACCTTATTACTTGCTTCTCTAGGATCATGAACTATAGGCTCAGTGTCCTTTGTTTATGGCTAGAATCCACTTATGAGTGAGTACATACCATATTCATCTTTTTGGGTCTATGTTACTTCACTCAGTATAGTGTTTTCTAATTCCATCCATTTGCATGTAAAATTAAATATATCCGTGTTTTTTAACCACTGAGTAATACTCTAATGTGTAAATGTGCCACATTTTCTTTATACATTCTTTGGTTGAAGGGCATCTGGGTTGTTTCCAGGTTCTAGCTGTTACACATAATGCTGCTATTAACATAGTTGAACAAATGCTTTTGTAGTATAATTGAGCATCCTTTGGGTATATGCCCAAGAGGTAACACAGTCTCTTTATCCATTCATCTGTTGAAGGACATCAGGTTAGTCTGATATCTTGGTTACTGTGAATGATATTGCAATAAACATTGATTGAAATTATCTGTTTTGTTGACTTAGAATATTTCAAGCATGTTAGCTTGATCCTATGGAAGTTCTACTTTTAGTTGGTGTGCTCTCACATTGATTTTCATGGTGGCTGTAAAAATGTTCCTTTTTTTCTTGAATCCTAGCTGGTATTTGCTGTTTTCTTGGTGATAATGTTTCTAATTGGTGTGAGATGGAATCCTAATGTAATTTTGCTAAAGATAATGACATTTTCATGTGTTCATTGTTTTTCTTCATTGGATAGTTATTTGCCTTGCCTCATTTGTTTGCCCAGTAAATTATTGAATTATTTATATAGAATTTTAATATAGACACATGAAATTATCACAGTCACATGAAAATAGAAGAACAGTGCCAAAGAACAAAGAAACTAACAGAAGGGAGAAAGGTGAGAAAAAGGATGGTGAAGGCATCAAAGAGAAATATGTTCAAAATATACAATGCATATATACATAAAATATTTCCTTTGTAATCATGTATCACATGCAATTAATGCACACCAAAGGAAAACACAGCCTCCACATAGAAAACTAGACCTTATTATTATTATTTTCTATTACATTTTGTATTGTGATAGAATTCTCTAGATCAACAGAGCCAAACAGCAGCTTCAGCAGCTTATCTATCTGTCTGTCTATCTATATCTATCTATCTATCTATATCTATCTATCTATCTATCTATCTATCTATCTATCTATCTATCTATCTATTTATCTAAATATTTGTGTGTGGGTATATATATATATGTATATATATATATATATATATATATAGAGAGAGAGAGAGAGAGGGAGAGAGAGAGAAAGGTAGTTTTACTTTAAGCAATTAGCAAATTTAATTACAAATGTACAAATTGAAAAATTTTAGGGATGAAATGAGATGGTCAAAAGTGTTTTAATGTTAATCTGAAGGTGGTCTACTACAAGTGTTAATTTTATTTTTAGAACTCACTATTCTGTGACAGCAGGATGGCTGTGCCAGTGAGGTAGTTGCAGGTGCATATTGGCAAGCTTGATTACCTGACTTGGTTCTCAAAAGTGTAATATAGAGGGCTGGAGAGATGGCTCAGAGGTTAAGAGCATTGCCTGCTTTTCCAAAGGTTCTGAGTTCAATTCCCGGCAACCACATGGTGGCTCACAACCATCTGTAATGAGGTCTGGTGCCCTCTTCTGGCCTACAGACAGAATATTGTATACATAATAAAGAAATACTTTGAAAAAAGTGTATTATAGAAAGAGACTCAAATTTATAGGAATTCCTCTGGTTTCACACATGTGTTGTGGCACAAGTATTTCTATAAATATTTAAATATTCAAAAATAATCCACTGTTGTATTCAACTTTTTCTTTATTAAGTCCTCCTAGTTAGTGTAAGAACCATGTACATTGTGGATAATATCTTGGTTTACTCAACGATCATTGATCTCAATTTAACCCCAGAAAAGCAACAGAAAACAAAATCATCTTTGTGGAAATATGTAGAATTATTATTAACCAAGTACCTAATGCCATGATTTATTAGTGTTTACATATACTATTTATTAATATTTATATATACTATTATTGTCTATGTCTCAGTAAGCCACTGACCTGTATATGTATGCAACTAAAAGATTAAATAGTCAGTAGTTCAGTTCCTATATCTATATATCTTCTTCTATCAAATTTCAGGAAATATTTATGTATGCATTCATTCATGTTAAAAATGTATTTTAATTAAAAATACAACATTCCCTTCTTACATTTCCTTCCTCGAACTCCTCCTATGTTCTTTCCTTTCAGCCCCTCCCAGGTCTCCCTTAATCTTCAAATTTATGGACTCTTATTCCATGACTATTGTTGTTACATATATGTTTGTACAACTATAAAAATAAAACTTACTGAGACAATTTAGTGTTGGTTGTATGTATATGATGTCAGGACTGGCCATTTGGTATGGAGTAACTAATTAGGGGCTCACACCTAGGAAATGCTGGTGTCCTTCTTTCCTGTCCAAACAGATGAACCTTTAAAACAACCTCTCCTTGAAATCCAGCCTTCTCTCTGGAGAACAACTGTGGTTTTCATATACTATAAGTATATGACTATATAAGTATATAGACTACAAGTGGGGAGTAAGAAAAGTGTTAAAAAACATAAAAGCCTTTTCTTTTTTTTTAATAATAGAAATTTTTATTTTGAGTCATTTGGTTTCAAGATCTTTCTTTGCCCAACAATAGCCACAGGGAAATTACACGATCCAGTAAATGAGAGTCTTGACTAAAGAATATTGTAAAGAAAGAATGCCCACAATAACAGAACCCCCCCACACACACTTTATACTGCAGTGCCCAGGGCAAGACAACAAGTGGAGGCTGTGTATCCGTGTTTAAGATAGGAATCAAGTCCAAACAGTTCATGAACTGTGCCCAGACGTACCTTGGTTTATCATAGAATTGCAATAAAACCTGTTGTAAACTGAAAATATCATGAGTCTATATGATTAATATGCCTAGTATCCTGATCACCACAACTTAGCAAATCACCTACCACAGATTTTCACCTGAACACTCTCAAGACTACAGTGGTGACTTGGAGCTGAAGCTCAATGCTCCCATCCAGCATCTTGAGAGGCTGTGAAGGAGGCATGCAGCACATATACTAAAATTGGAACGATACAGAGAAGATTAGCATGGCCCCTGTGCAAGGATGACACTCAAATTCGTGAAGCCTGTTCTTTAGGATAAAATTGCATTCTGGTGAAATACTAACACCAATAGTAAGGTTTTAGTGCACATTGTTTTATATGCTTTCGCGACTAAACCGCTGAAGTACTGTTAATAAAAGGAAGCATCAGTATTTGTAAAATCCAATATGTAACTAATTAGTGCATAAATGGTTTATAACACCTTGGATTTTGGCTGTTATTACACTCTCCATATTTGGCATAAAGGAAAGAATTATTGAAACTGTTACATCTTGACTGTCAGGGTTCACAGGTTGACAACTTTTTTGATTGCTTTTCTCTCTCAGTAGCCTGGCATCATGAAAACTTAAGTAAAGCTGAAGTTTCCAGCTTAGTTACAGTTTGATTTCTCATATGCTGTGACCAAATTTTGGTGTCTTCAGTGACAGGCTATCACTATCAAGTTGTGGATAGCAATGAAGGAAATGACAATAGTCTGTATTGGTTTGGGTCTTCTGGTACTTTCTTAACCAATAGCATATAGGTAGGTATCTCATATCTAGAGCTTGAACATTTAATAATTCATGGCTTCCAGGAGGAGTCTAATCCATCAGTGCAGGGAACCAACATGAGACAGGAAATAACATATTTATGTTTGCAGTCTCAAAACTGTAATCCAAAGGGATTTACAAGAGATGTAAAACATTCAGAAGAAAACGATCAGTGTGAACAGGCTTCAGAGTACAAGCTCAAAAGGGGAAATGTTAGGTAAATTGTTTATCTTGTTAATTCCCCAAATTTCACGATGCTTCAGATCTGTTTACAGGCCAATAAAAGCCAAAGTCTTCAACTAGGCAGGTAAAAAACCACTGAGACTTAATTTAAGGAATGCTATGATTCAATGTTATATTAAAATGCACTATCAAAGCTCGCATAATGTGGCATGATATGAATTCTGGTCAGCAATCAAAGCTCTACCAAATACATTAACATTTTTAATTTATTTTTAAATTAGCATGCAAAGCAATATGTTTCATTGCCATGTTTTCATGCATACTTCAGTTTTGGGGATTGTCCTGCTCTCCTCTCTCCCCACTACAACATTCCTGCACTGTAGGAAATAACAATTGAAAATGGGTCAAATAACTTAATTTAAAAGTTGAAATGTGGGACCTTTTGAGAGACAAAAATTCAAAATCTTAGCTTAAGGAAGAACTCTCTGAACAGTATGTCAATAGCATGCTCATTGCTTATTGCATAAGCAATGCTTATGCTATTGGCATAAGGAAATAGACAGGAAATAACCCTAAGAATTGACCTGAAGTAAAAAAAAGCTTCAGTATAGCAAAGGAAACTGTTACCAGAATAAATGGAAAGTGGAAAACATGGAAAATCTTTGCAATCTATTCTTCAACCTATGTCTTAATATTGAGGTTATACAAAGAACTGTAAAAATTAAATACAGACTAATCCTCTGCCAAACTATTGGCAATCACTATGCAAGCTAATAAACTGAACAGATAGTTCTCAATAGATGAAACACAATGACCAATGGATAATAATAAAAAACTGTTTAATATATAAATAATTTCGATTTTTGTAGATATTGAAAGATCACTTGTAGGTAACCTATGTTTTCTGCTCATCATTGGCAACAAATCTCCAAGATTTGTGAAGTTAGAAGGAATTGAGGTAAGAGAAGTATTATTTTTAAAAGAAGGCACTGCCATGTAACAGCAAAACCGTTTACAGGGCCACCCTGATGGATCCTTTAACAACATTGTCAGCTGGGAAAGAAGCTAAAAGACAGTGTACAAAGACTTGACACCTGAGGAGGATAGGAACAAAGAGCTAAGGTAGAATTGTAGAAACTAGAATGTCAATGAGAGATGTTAGTCTAGTTATAGTCCATAATTCACAACCAGCAAGTAAATGAGTCATAATTCACATTTCCTGTGTATTTGAATTATAAAATCCTGTTCAAGTAAGTGACTCTATATGTGCAATATTTTCTCTTCAACAACGATTGTTTCCTGGCATTTTAGTATTGAACAACAAGTGGTCCAATATTTGTAAACAAACAATACATTAAACATGCTTTTTTTCTTTGGAAAGACTCTTACAAAACATTATTAAGCATCCCAGAGGCAGCCTACTGTGTTTGAACCTGAGAACAGAATTGAGATAAAATATTTTGCTCTCAGTATTTTATGAACATTCTTTCCTGATTTTGTACTCTAAGTAAATTGAGAATAATTGTTTTTGTAAGCCACAAGAATACAAAAGGACTTATACTTGTAAGACCTACATTTCATTTCATTAAGGATTATGGTAAGGATTATGCTTTTGATTTGTTGACATTTCATTTGCATAGCTCTTTATGGGGAAATACAGTGTATTTTTAAACAGTCCTTTTTCTCTTTAAAAGCAGAAGGAAAAGCCTCTCACTGAGAAGTGACAATGAAAAGTACATTGCTATGCAAGAGTTTCCTGTTCTCACTGTGGCAAAAGAAAGTATTATTTTGTATAACTATTTCTATCTCGATAGGTTTCATCATGTTCTAGAAAATTTCTACACGGCTTTGGCACTCAGCCTGAAAAGCCCACTAAACAGGACCTAGTGCCAAGAAAGTTAAACCTCTTGTCTGAGGAATACACATGTGGAGCTCCTATATTGGAAAATTGGCTAGCCCTTGTTTACAATAGTTCATTGCTTTGCAGCAGTTAAGCATGGGATTTAGCAAGGGTTCTGAAACAACTAAACTGAACATTTCTGCATAAAGTTAATTAATCACTATATTTATGTATATTTTAGAAAGCAGTAGACAAATCTTATTTAAAAATTTAGAAGGCTAATATTGATGATTTTTTTTTCCTTTTGGTCATACCAAAAAAAGATTATATTGGAAACTTTTCTAAACTCAGTAATTTTTGTTATGTTTGAGTATAGTTTAAAAGTCATATTGTCATAAATATCCCTAAAACTTATTTTGTATTAAAATGATTCTTTATTCTTGAGAATTTCATATATGTACACAATGAAATATTATCATATGTATCTTCCATTTTCCCTTTCATATCTCCCCATATTCCCCAACACATTTCTCTCCCAGCTTCCTACTCTGTGTATAGTATATGCATGGCTGGAAAACCATCTACTGGATCATGGATACTGTCAGTTTCCACATGCACAATAAATATTTCTTAGGTTTTTTTTTTGTTGTTGTTGTTGTTTTGTTATATTCCCAAGAAAGATTTTCTCTGTGTAACAGCTCTGGCTGTTCTGCAACTCACTTTGTAGACCAAGCTGGCCTTGAACTCAAAGAATTCCGCCTGCCTCTGCCTCCCAAATGTTGGTATTAAAGGTATGTGTCATCATATGTAGCAAAATCTTTGTTTCTTAATATTGTAAATCAGTTTACTAATGAGCTATTCATATATCATTAGCTTAAGTATTCCATCTGTTACCCTTCCCTTTTTCTTATTTGCCTCCCTCTGTCTCTGTTTAATCCTTTATCCTCCAATATTCTTTCCTCTTCTTTAATTTCACATCTATTCTACTATCTAGATACTTATTTTTCATACTGCTCAAATTTCAGCTTCAAACATGAGTTTATATTTATGTCACCAACTCCAATCCATCACTATATAGACCATTCTAGTTTCTTTCCATTGTTTATATTTATCCATTTACTTCTGTGTAAACACACGACCCAAACTGACTGCTCATTCATTTTCATAGTTTTACGTTACAACTACAGGTGCATAACAGTTTTGGAATCATTAATATGTGTCTGCATGTAAAAACAGTCTTTATCAGAGTTCATTGTTGTAAGTATTTCCCCCTTTTGGTTTACAATGCAAAAGTACTTATTTCAACACTGTTGTCCTCCCTGCCATTTTGTGAGTGTTATGCCCAAATCTGTGGGGTCCCCGCAAAAGCCAACAAGGAAGTCAAGTCCCATATAAAGGCAAAGAATCTTTATTTTAATCAAGTTTGCAAACTCGGTCTCTCTGCACATCCAAAGTATTGGAATAACCAGAGAGCCCCAGCTCAATTAGAATAGGGTTTATAGTAGTAAAGGTGGGGTGGGGGTGAGGGTTTTCTGAGTTTTTTTTTCTTTTTTTGTATTTATTTATTTATTTATTTATTTAAGATTTCTGTCTCCTTCCTGCCACCCCCTCCCTTTTCCCTCCCCCTCCCCCAATCAAGCCCCCCCTCCCTCATCAGCCCAAAGAGCAATCAAGGTTCCCTGCCCTGTGGGAAGTCCAAGGACCACCCACCTCCAGCCAGGTCTAGTAAGGTGAGCATCCGAGCTGCCTAGGCTCCCACAAAGCCAGTACTTGCAGTAGGATCAAAAACCCATTGAGGTTTTAAAACCTCTGATTTGATGACATTTGTCTAGAGTGTCCTGGAGAACGTGCACTGGCAGCTGTTCCTATCTACAGTGCTTGGAATGCCAGGCATTTTTTTTTTTTTTTGAATGGTCTGTTCCTGGGTGGGGATCAGGTTATCTCAGCTTGTGGTTCCTCCTGCAGCCAGGCATTGCCTCAGGATAAACTACTGGGACTCCAGCTTCAACTTAAATTCCTAGATGCCAGAGTCTCAGGTGATAATGGTTGAAGGTAAAAAACTTCCTTTTGGTGGTGACCTGTCCCTATGTAGCTTATCATGGCTGACCCCCCCCTCCACACACACAGTGAGCTTATTTCATACACCTACAGTAAAATTTGATTGGTTTCCTTCAGTTTTCTTCCAATACCAGATTTCTGTGGCATTGTAGATATTGTTTTAAATTTCGCAAACATTGCATTTAATTTTTGTTCTATAAAGATCTATTGGATTTGATCAATGCAATGTCACAGAACATTATCTTTTCATACAAAATAGTTTCACCATTAAAAGAAAAAGTATCAGCTCAGGGCCCCCCAAGCCCAAGTTCTCAGAACAAAGGAGATTTATTTGCTCCAGAGTGACAGAGGGCAGAGATCAGGGAAAAAGACAGGAGATAGAGGAAGTGGCAGAAGGGAGCAGGGGTATTTTTCCCAGAGGG